AAAAAGCCCCTTCAGAGAAGAGTTACCTAAAGGCAAGTCTGTGTGCCTTTTTGCAGTTGGATGTGTGGTCAGTTTGTCAATACTTTGTGCAAGCAAGAAACCATGCAGATGTTCTACCAGGGCATCAAGACTTTTTTAGTCCAGTCTCAGAGCTGTGGTGGCTGTAATGTGTAGCATTATGGATTCAGAGATGATTCAGGACCAGCCTGCTTACAGAAAGGGGACACCTCTGTTAATAGACACACTCAGCTACTCACTGTGGAAGGCTGACATGTGAAGGCTCTTGTGTTGTGCATGTCCTTCTCTGAGAGTGCTTTATTCAGTGCTGCTACAAAGTGTCTCCTGATTTTCTGGACTCACAATCCAGAAGGTGGATACCAACACTTTGGAAATGGAGAAGTGGTTCTTACAATGCAGCTGAAGACATAAGAGCCTTCCAACTCCTAACTCACTGTATCTGTCGCTAGAGTCCCCACCAAAGCTATGGAAGACCTGGCTTAGCTGTGTCCCAGTCTGAGTGCATTCAAACCCAAACATGACATCTTTCAAGACGGCTCCTAAGTCAGGATGCTTTTTGGAGTCTCCTTCCTTCTCCCACTTCTCCCTTTTTTGGTTAAAGCAGTTTTATTCTTCCTGGAGTATAGCTTGACTGAGACAGCAAATGGATGCAAGGTTGATTCCAGCTTAACCCAATGGCTGAGCCATGGGGAGAGAAAAACTTTGCTGTTCAGAAATCTATTCCTGTATTTTATCCAATGACCTTCACTCAAAGCAGCTAAATGACCTCTTGGACTGGTCCACATTGTATAATGCCTCCCTGTACTTCCCTAGTTGAAGGAGGGAGGAGATCAGCACTGGTACATTGAAACCGAATAGAGCAAAGCAAAGCAGAACAGTACTTCCAGCTTGAAACAATTCTGTGTCATGATACTAACATGATTCAGGAGTCACATTTCTGTTAGAAGATCCAAAGATGGAGAGGGATTTGAAAGTCCTCAAATCTCATACCTACCATTGTACTACTCTTGTATTTATAGCTTGAAAATCAATGGAGTTTTAATGTAAGCATCATCCTTTAGGAAGATAGAAAGTACAGCTGTTTCCATTATATTTATGGTGGGTAATAACATTAATCTAAGGATACCAGCTGGAACCCTTTTCAATAGACATACACTTATGCAAAATCGTATCATTTTGGTGCTTTGAAGTAAGCTTTTTAATCTCTGTATCTTTTTTCTTCCTTTTTTTTTTTTTCATGACAACGTCTATGTAGATCTTTCAGTACTGTTTGACATGTATTTTCAGTGTGAAAGTAGCCTATATTTTTACCTCTTAATATAATAGGACCCATAAGGTAACTGTGTACCACAAAGAGAAAATTTCACCCCAAGGGTGAAGTCTTTCAAACTAGTCCTCAGACAGCTTTCCAAGCTCCTCTGCTTCTGGCTATTATTATGAGTGACAGCAGCAGTAAATCTATAGTGATATTGAGAACCAGGATTCATGGCTGTCTTTTTATGAGTAAGGGGAATGGTTAAAGAATATTGATGCCACAAGTCTGATTCTGAGCCCCTTAATGCAGGTTTAAATGACCAATAACTCCAGCCAAAGCAGCATAACATAGCTATTCAGCAAGACTGAGAGATGAGAAAAAGTTAAATGCTCAGTATTTTAAAAGCAGAGGAAATATATTGAAAGTAGATTTTCTTGCAAAATAAATTAGCTTGTGCATATGTGCTTTAAATAGTACAAATAAATTGCATTTTAAATAGTACTTCTTAATGGATGACTTCTTATTTCCATGCTAAAGAAAATTAAAGTCATGTAGCAAAATGCTTTTTGCATTATCTGGCCACTGTAACTCCTCTTTGTAAGGTAGCCACACAGGTTGATCAGAATTAAATACCCAGGTAGGGAGGAATGCCTATTTGAGGTGGCTTCCAACTCAAGAAAGGCTGTCTTGCACTGGTTGAGTATCACTCATCCAGAAAAGACCGTGGAGCTCTAAAGTGAAACTGATATTAAAAAAAATAAAACTCTTGATGTGTGTAATTAGCTAGAAATGTACAGCAAAGCCTTGATTGCTCTGCCTTTGCATAATCTACATCTTTGTATGCTACTCTGACTAACCTATCCCAAGCTACTCTTTTAAGAAACCTTCCTCTCTTCTGTCCCACTATGATCACATTTTTGATGTCTCCATGTCCAGCTCTGTTTCAAGTGATCGAAGAAGCCCGTCCATAAGGCCCTTCTCCTTTGCAGTGACCTTGGCCAAGGTCGGTGATGGTGATGGAGGGAGGAATTATCAGTGCAGGTTATGCAGGGAGGTGGTCTTCTCTGGGTATCTTAAGATGCCTAGATATGACAGTAGCCTTGAAGTAGGGATGCTTTATTCCCCAAAGGATGCCGAAATTGTTGCAAAAGGGATTAAGCACAAGAGGATTCTACAGGAACGCATTCTTTAAAAGCCTGTCTCTTTGCTGCTTCAAACCATGCTGGCAGTTGGCAGAAGACTTTTTTAATGTTCAACTGTAACCTTTTAAATTAACCTAAATAAACAGAAATATTAATGCAGCATCCATCTCAAATGAATAGTACTATGCTCATACAGGATAGAGATATTTTCAATGGGAACAGATCAAAAATGGGCAGGTTGTGGCGAGCAACCATGGCCTTTTAAAGCACCCACCCCAGGGGCTGCATGAGAGGGGGTGAGCCAATTCTTGGGGTGGGAGATCCCTCCCTTCTGCAGGGAGGTTCTGCCTGTCCCCATGGGAAAGGATGACGCACTGTGCTCCAGTCCTTGCATAGGCCTTTAAACTGCAGCACCCAGCCTGAGACCTCTCCTCCTGCCCTCCTAGAGGTCCTCAAAAGAGCTGAAAGCAGGACTCTGGGATGTCTCAGCAGAGCTGAGTTACATTATAGGTGAGGCCTTCCTGGGTCTGCCCCAGGCATGGATTCAAGGTGGTATTGCAGAGTCCACTGGCTGGGGAAGGACGTTTCACCACCTGGAGAGTCAGGGCTCTCTGTTCTGGTTCTGCAATGGTCTGCAAAGATGTGTTGTAAACTCTGCCTATATTACTTCAACTATCACGCTGGCTGATAAGTCCAGTCTGGCTCTATAAAGAAACCTCAATTTATATACAGGACATCATGCTTAGTGCTGTACAAACATGTGAAGATGGGACACTAGAGCATAAAGACAATCATAGGAGCCTAATGGCCCTGTGCTGCCAGTATTTGTGACCAGTGTCTTAAACATGCATATCAAGCCCTAGGGCTTTCACCTACATGTCTGCATGTAGCTGGAGTAGGAGACCTTGTGCCATTTGTCATTTGTGCCATGCCTGTGGGCTGGATGTGGGGATGCATGCACCCACCCTTCCTGGGAAAAGCCCAACCTGGACTCAGATATTCATGCTCAGCTCAGCTGTTTCTCCTGCGCCCAGCCTTGCCACCGCTGCTGGGGAAACATGGGAGTGGGGAGCGCCTTGTTGCCCCCTTAAAGCTCACTTCTTCTCCCCCCGCCCCGTTCAGTTGGCAGCTGTAATTCTGCTGCCTCTGAAGTTCCCCCTTGCCCTCCCGGACCCCGATGGGACATGAGCCAGGGTCAGCACCGCGGACGGCGGCTTGCCCTGCCCTGCCCGCGGGCGGAGCCGGGCCCCGCGGCGCCCCAGACCGGGTCCGGGCTGGGCACGGCCCGGGGGACACCTCCTCCCGGGCTGGTACTCACCAGGCCCTGCAAAGGCCACAGTGCCCGAGGTATCTGGATGGGTCGATGTTCCTCGGGATGCTGAGACCTGCCCCCTGGGAACGGTGGTCCAAAATTCGCCTTGGGTTTGTCTGTCTCAGCCAGGAAACAGAGGAGGGAACTGAGACCTTCCCAGTGCTCTGTCTTGGAAAAACATGGTGCTGTCATGGTCTCTGGAGAAGAAAATTTGGTTGCACTCTCTTTATCTTCTCTGGTCAGGGAGAAGGCAAGAGCAATACAGCACTGGGCTGTGTGGCCCAGCCAGGATAAACTAAGGGGCATGTCAGAAATGGCTCCACCTGCAAAGAGAGGACAGAGAGGTGACCTTCCCTGTGGGCCTGCAAGATGACTTTCATAGGGGCTGCAGCACACTGTAACTTGGGGTATGAAGATAGGGGTGCTCATACCCAGGAACATGTTTATGGATGTCAAAGGGTGCCATGCCCTGGCAGGAGCAGAGCTGAATCCTCCCTGAGCTTGTCCTGTCAGATGTGAGAATGATGTGACCCTGGACTTCTTGAAAGTCTATTTCACTGGAGCTAAAATCATGACAGAAGCAAATTCCAACAGAGTAGCCTGCAGGCAGCACCCAGCTCTTGTGGGGCTAGGGTAGGACAGGTCAGATCCTGTGGTTAGAAAAAGCTCATAAGAATGAACTTTGAGTCTGGCTCAGGTCTCTCTGGCACTCCCACAATTGTGGCTCTGCAGAGGGGTGACCACTTGGATTTATCTAGGGGTTGGGGGAAGAGTCCCTTTAGTTTCCTGGGGGCATGGTCAATCCAAAGAAGGCCCCAGTGAGATAAAAGAGGGTGGGGAGGAAGGGCAATCTCAGACATTATGCAGGGCAATCCAGACTGGGTGATGTAAATGGTGCTCAGGCTAATTGACTCTGCACAAAGGAGCCCATCTCCAGGGTTGAACAGCTTGCAGACACCTTCAAATAGAGCAGGAGGACAGTGCTTTGAAGTTACCCAGAGGAGGAGGGTTATCTTGGGCTCTTGCGCATATCCTACGCAGATGGTTTCCCTTGATGTGTCTGGCATGGCCAACATAAATGTCCCTACACCTAACACAGTAGCAACCAGCTTACTTTGCTGCTGTTTGTCAGCTCTGATGTCACCACCCACATAGGCGCCCTGCATCTCCAGTCCTACCACATCCCCTGGCCATTGCTCTGGCAGAAGCACTCACATTCTCAGGCAGTTTCCACTCAATATCTGGCAATTGCAATCTGCTCCACTGTCTCCCAATGAAGACGGACTTGGTGGGGATCTCAGGCCAAAAGGAAGAGGCCAGCAAAGGGAAGGAGATGCATGGCATAGAGTCATTGAACAGGCGAGGCAGCTTGGACTCCAACAGGGAGGAGGGCAGAGCCACTCTCATCCTGACCCTCACCCTCTGCAACGTGAGGAAGATTGAGCTCTCTAGGGCAGCGAAAGTCTTTGAGGTACAGACCTCACCATTCCATTCCTTCCACCAATACTTCTCTTTTGTCACTATTGCCCTACCTCTCCCACCCTGCATCTCCCCTTCTCTCACTCTTCTCCTGCTCCCTGCCTGACTTATGCCTCCATCTGCCTTTCACCTTTCTCATTATTCCTGTTTTGCTACAGCTGTTCAGAGAGTTTGGCTGGCCTCTCCAGGTGAAGAAGGAGAGTGCTCTGGAGGGAGGGAGCAGCTGGACACAGTCATTTAGAAGAATCATCATTTTACCTAAGGGCCGTTCAGAGCAGATTCCAATCTATAGTTTCTTTCTAGCAGTTGTGGTGGCCAGCCATGTCTAAACAACAGGCCAGCATTTCAAGTATTCAGATTGTGGGGATGTTAGGAGCCAATGAATTTTGTCTGCATATTTGGCAGGAGATATAGAGCATACAACAGCTGTAAACCATACAGGCATTGTATATTCTGGGCACTTGAAGTATCCCTACCAGGTGCTCACTCTCATCTGTGAAAATGAATAACTCAAAAGAAAAGTATCGTACTTGTTACTTATTTTTAATAATTCCCAATTATTTAATGATTATAGTGTTATTATACATCAATAGATACGCTTTCATTCTGCCAGGTTCTTAAGACTTACCCAGCCAGTCATTTGTTATTTCTGCACAGATGAAATGCTACAGTCAACAGTATCCTATCTTTCATCTCCATCTGTCTCCGCCTAATTCTACACTGTGTAATCCTTAGCTCTGCCTGTATTTTAGCTCCTTCTAAACTGGGCATTACTACGCATCAATGCTTAACATGCACTTCTTCTTAAAACTTCTTTTAGTCACCTTTTTAAAATATTGTAGAAGTGTATCTAGACTTACCTGGATTTTCAGTCTTTGGAGAAGCTTCATCATATGATCATCTGGCTCTTGCAGATGTTTGAAACCCAGATCCATCACTTTGAAACCAGAGAAGCCAAAAAGTCCAAGAACTCTGCTGATGATCTTGACATTTTTGTTGAATGTGAAGTTCACAGTGCTGACGTTAGTATCCTTATCACCTCCCTAAAGAGAGTAGCAGAGGATGTGAAAACTAGCAGAGAAGACAAAGGTAAGAAATGTATGCATCTGTTAGTGCTGTTTTGTTTCTTTCTGGAGTAAGTTTTTTAGCATTAGCTTCATAGTAGTAATTTAATTAGTCTGGAAAACAGGTGAGTGTGCATTCAATTTTCTTCACTGTGTGACTGTCTTCCCTGAATTGGGATAATTCCCATCAGTGTGGAAAGGGAGGCACTTTGTCATAGCCAGTGGAACTGAGGCGAGAAAAGTGTTCCAGCAAAAACAAAGATGAGAAGGGTAGAGTAGCAAAGCAAGAAGTTCAGGAGAAACTGTAAGCTTCCCAATGATAGGAAGACTGTGGGCTGAGAGGTGAGAACTGTGCAGAGAACTGACCTCTCTGAACCTCTGTACAGTGAACACAGGTACTTGATGGGAATGCAGCGATATGACAGAGGGTCTGAATGTTTCATTTTCTTGTAGTGTATTGTGTTGGTTTTGTTAAAAGAAACAGTAGCTGTCTGTTTATGGTATCCTGGCTACTGCCATCTGGGTCCAGTAGCACTGTCTGGAGGTAGATTGCTCCTTCACTGAAAAGAACTAAATGCAACAAGCTGTAAGAAGTTTTGAGAGTGCAAGTGGGAAAGAGGGTCAGCAGAAAGTCTGCAAGTACTGGGCAGGCTGGGAGAACCAGGAGACGAGCTTCTTGTAGAGAACAGACCTGCAGCCAAATCTGGAGTAACAGAACATCAGGAATTTTCCCAGACACCTGAAAAGCTTGTTTGGAGGCTATGCAGCTTCAAAGGTGGAACTTTAGGAACAGTGTTTTACCTGGCAAAGCACTGCAAGTGGCTACTCCACTGCCTGTGCTGTATTTGAGTCACCATCCCTACCAGTCATCAACACAGGAAATGAGTTTGCCAGAGGTAGACTGGTATTGTTCCTGTTTACAGGCAGGTAGGGGATCGGTGAGCACAACAAGCTGTTAGAGACCTGTCATACAATCCTGAGGGTGCCAGAGGTGCCCCTGATAGATGAGAAAGCTGAGGGTCCACCTCATAGGTTGTGTTCTCTGAATACAGAATTGCCATGAGGTTTTCCACCCTTGACAAGGCCAGGCAGAAATCCCCAGGGCCTTTTTAGCTAATACAGTCCTGTTTCAATGCCTTTGGGTGTTGCTTGAAATTCACCTTCAGGCTGGTGATGAGGGGCAGTCCATACCAAGCTGTTATCAGGGACTGTGGGGATATCAAAAGGGTATCGTTGTCATAAGGGAAACTGGAGAGCCAAAGAATGTTTTGGAGCTGAAGAAGCACGTCTTTAAGCTTTCCTTGGGAGTTTGTGCTTCGGAGTAGCAGTTAGTTTCAGGTGTGTTAGGACTCGGATCTACCATAAAAACAGGGGACTGTTAAAAGACGGTGTTTATGGTTAAAGAAGAGGAATATTCGGGACATAATTTTCTTCATAATTTCCTTTTTTCTATGGTTTTGAACAAAAATTGTAATCAGGCTTATTTTTTCAGATGTAATGATGCTAGAAGTGATATAGTTGGCATGCAAATGGCTAGAGTCTTTCTGTTGCTAAGTGAGCTCAGACCTACACACAGCACTCCTTAGTTTGTAGAGAGTCTTTTCTGGTTGTTTCAGACCCCAGAATTCAGTAGTTCCCTAAGCAGTTTATTTGATTTCAAGATGAAAGGGTCAGAGGTATTTGTATTTGTAGCCTACGGAGACACCTTAGGTGTGGGCACCAGCAAGAACTGGGGATTTGGAGATTTTGGCCTTAAAGCTCTCAAAAGAACCTTAAGGCTCTTTTGGTCCTATTGAGGTGAATTTGGGGGGTGCTAAAGTGTCAGAGAACTTTCAGCTCAGATAACCTCTAGGTCTAAGATTCACCAGTGGCCCATTTTATTTGTATACCTTATTGAAAGTAGCTAGCAGCAGCTTCACTTTCTAGTGGGGTTTGCAGATGCCTGTGAGAGCATATTTGTAACGAGGAGGTATCTAAGTTGTATAAACATGCTTACTGGTCAGCAAAGATGCAAGTATGTACATTCCGGCTGCCTCTGTCACCTGACGCTCCAGCTTCTGGATTAATCTATTTTTTTCCCACACAGACTTTTCATTCTTTTCTTCAGAGTTTTTAGGTGAGCCAGACAGGCCTTTCCAGGCATTTTGTTGAAGGACAAAGATGAGACAATGCCCTGTCCATAGTGGCTTTAACAGAAATTAATTTGGTACTCGGTTGAGAAAAGCAGTAGTTATCTCTGACTCCATGAAGAGGAGACACATGCAGCCACTATCCTTGTTTTATTGTCTGCATCCATTTCTGCGATCAGGCCAAGGGTCCTGCCATGGTCCTTCCTCCCCTCTCTTCTAGCCTGTCTGCCCTCTCTCAGGATTCAGTAAAGGATAGTCAAGATGTGTATGGGGACATACACTGGAGGGCTTACGGTCAGGCACAGTTTTTGAGGAGATATGGGCATAGATGGCAGGACAGGCACCTTGCATGCATAACCATTGGTACAGCCAAAGGCAAAGGTTCATCAAAAATTTCTGGCTAGACAGAAGACAACTGTCAGACTAGTATTTCTTCTTTCTTATCGCAGAACTGGCCATAACTGCATGAAAGAACTGGAATTTCCCAACATCGGTGTGTATTTGTAGCCTTGCTCCTTTGTGAAATGGCTGTGGATGGATGTAATATCATAGGGCTAAAGCTAAATTTGCCATTCAGTACAGAGATGCCTGGTGTCCTCTTGTTGATTATGAGATCAAGGTGACCCCAAACAGACTTTTTTCTGAACTGTGACACACTAAGTCTGACCACAGTATCAGTCTGACCTTAGAAAGCAGTATTAACTTTGTCTTTTTTCCAGTTGTTTTTTGATTCATTGGTTATAAATGCTGGCACTTAAATTAAAATGGGCACACTTTATGTTTATTTTAGTCACCAGAAAAAGGTCCTCACTTCAGGGGAGGGAAACTGTTTGGAAATTCAGCTGATGCTAGAATAATTTTGCTGAAAAAAGTAAAAATGAGCCAGAAGGAAAAAAGCCCAAAGTCAAGACACTTCTCATTCTGTTTTGTTTCTAGAAATTTTATGTTTTCCTTTTAAAATGTTGTTTTAACTTTTAAAGGTATGAAAATCTAAGACTAATTTTTTTACAAGATCAAAATATTTTTTTAAAATCCAAAATTTTGAAATAAATTTTATAGAATCATAGAATACCAGGTCAGAAGGGACCTCAAGGATCATCTGGTCTAACCTTTCTTGGCAAAAGCATCATCTAGATAAGATGTCCCAGCACCCTGTCCAGCTGAATCTTAAATTTTTTCAATGTTGGGGAATCCACCACTTCCACGGGGATATTATTCCAGTGGCTGATTGTTCTCATTGTGAAAATTTTTCCTTTTATGTCCAATTGGAATGTCCCCAGGAGTAATTTGTACCCATTACCCCTCATCTTTTCCATGTGACTCTTTGTAAAAAGGGAGTCTCCATTTTCTTTGTAGCACCCTTTAAATACTGGAACATGTACTGTGCTGTGTCAAACAAAACATCTAATTTGGCCTAAAAGGAAATGTTTTTGCCTTTAAAAGAAGTTTCTAATAATTAAAACTGAGAGATTATAGTTGCAAGTTAGTTTCAGATAATTTTTCATCCAGTCTGCCAGTTTGGTCAGCAAACGAAGTCAACTATTGACGAATGGTGACACATAGATACAAATATTCTTAGATACTGATGAAAAGAAAGCTTGTAATCTTCAGCACAACCTTTGTTTTCTGTGTCTTTTAAAAATTATTTGATCCTATCTCATTTAACTCTTGCTGCTTTCCCTCCAGTGCCCTGGTTCCCCAGAAAAATCCAAGATCTGGACAAGTGTCACCATCTGATCACTAAGTATGATCCCAGTTTGGACCATGGTCACCCTGTAAGTTTAATGTCACTGTTATTCCAGTTTTTAAAAGAAACCGTAGGGAAATTTTTGTAGGAAAATTTCAGGAGTAAAAAAATGCTCATGAAAGGACAGACAAAATGAAGGATCAAATAAAGGCTGATCTTTGGTGGAATTTGGGAGTACAGAATGAACAACTTAATAATGAGAAAAACTTATGGGTCCTGATTCAGCAAGGCTGAATCACATACGATTAACATCAGACACATGCTGAAGTAATTTCTGTTCAACGTATTCTTTGGCATGAATTTACATTTCATTGTTTAGTTTTAAAAAAATTCTTGTTTAGCATTTCAACCCTGATATATTTGAAGTATGCCCCCTTTGTACTAGCTGTTCCAAAAAAGAGACAGGTTCCCCAGCCTTCTGGTTTTTGTGTTTTCTGTATTTTGACCTTTCATATATCCCTTATCTGCATTTTTAATTTTGTGTATGCCAGGAATATTATTCAAGTGCAGATGTACAGAGGATGGTAATTAGGACAATGTGACTGGAGAAGCTCAAAAGGTCTAGTGATTTCAGTTGAGATAAGCATCTAAAGTTTGAATAGTAAGCAAGTTGGAAAGATTATACTCCTAATTTACACCTGACTTTTCACAAGGTCTTTGGAGCCGGGATTTTAGCAGTATTTACTGATATTACTCTGCAAAATATTGTTAGAATGTGATGAGTTTTCCTTCAGATTCACCCAGTAGGCCTTGGTTATGAGTGGGCTGCAAAAAGGGCTTTTCTCATAATAGTTTTGTGTATGTACTCTTAGCCTTGCCATAAGCAGAAACTCTAGAAAAGGAAGAAAAATGCACTGTAGAGTCCTGCTCGAATGATGGTAATAGTTAGGCAAAGTACTGGGAAAAAGCAAACACACAAACAAACACTCATTTCTCATCAAAGTTTTCCAACTTTAGTACATATGAGATATGAGTTATGTACAGACAAAAAAGGGACTGCAAAGGGCCATTTGCTGATTGACAAGGTAGATCACAGAACCGTTGTGAAGTGTTCTGCCAAACATCACATAGAAGTGATGCATGAAAAGGAAAAAAAGCACAGACTTTGCACTGAAAAATGCAAGGAAGATTTAGATGGATGTCAACAGAATGTACAGGATTTTGTCGTTCCCTTCTCTAAATGTCTGAATTCTATTTACATCCTTTTACTAATCTACACAATGTTAATGCTAGCTATGTACAGTTCTGTGTGGCACAAAAACACTTTCCAAATCTATCTTCTATTTTTGAGAATCACTTATTAAACTATAATGCTCTAGGAGAGCTTCATATTCTCCTTACTGGAACATCTTTCACTCTTCCTCACGTATTTCTGGCAGAAACAATCCAAGTATTCGTCGTTTTCCTGAGCTAGCTCTGAGGCTGTTTCTCACAAGATAAATGAATGTACATTGGGAATTCTTTGAACTGGACTAAGTTCCCCTCCTACTTTGCCAAATGTGAGGTGTGAGCACCGAAGAGGATGAGAAAAAGCACCAGTGGTGCTGTTACCAAAGTATTGAGTGGGGATAAGTCTACGCCGCAGAATGCAATGCAATTTAGGAATACCTAAACTAGCTTGAAACAAGTTAGCTCAGACACTGAAAGTCATTTGTCTGTGCCCTAAGGGAGCACAATGTGGGCTCATTTGCTGTGACGCTGAGCATGGCTCAGAAATGGACAGGTTGGAGGAAGGTACAAAATATGCCGATGTACAGGTAGCTCAGCAGAGATTTTGTATATATGGTTACTACCAAATAGGCAGTTTGGGCTGTCCATCTCAACAGCTTCACTTTGTTCTTTACTGTCTCTTTAATGGCCACAAAAGCAAACAGATGACACTGGGACACCAGTCTCTGGGACACCCTGACACTGGTTACAGCGATCCCCCAGGGAGGTTCCTGCTGCTCAGAGGGTTGGTTGCAGAGCCCTGGGAACCGCAGGGACAAAGCTGAGAGGTCACAGCATCAATGCTAGTCTGGCTCAATGGCTTTTCCACGTGTTTTGCATGGACTTGTTACAGCTACTGACAAGCAAGGATGGCATCTGAATGAACATATTATCCATAACACATGACAACAATAAACATGCTCTTGGGATCCAGTTCTTTCCTCAGATTCACGCACACAATACTCGTTAACTGCAGTATTACTGGTATTATTGCTACACTGAAAATTATGTGAATAAACCTAAGGGAGAAATTTGGCTTGTAGTGTGCAAAGTAGTTCCAGTAAATTCTGAATATTTTAGAATACTAAATATTTGTACAGTGATGCTGATCAACGCTGCTTTATGAGTTATATTAGTAACACGGTGCCAGATTTCAGATTTTATTCCTATTATGAATGATGTAAAATTCAAAGGAATTTAATTCCACATTTCTATTCATATTTAATAGGTGGAGAAGCCTGCTTGAAGCTCAACTTCTAGTAAACAGTGAGGGGGCAAAACGAAACTCTGGTATTTAATAAGCAAACTGCCCCTTTGAACAGATACCACTGAATTTTTCTTTATCATAACACGGTAATAAATGGGCAAGGGGGGACTGAGCTGAAAGCCTGTATTTTCTATGGATTCAGTGGTGGCTCTGATGATTTCTAGCCAGTGAGGACCCCTTCTTCTCCTGAAGCGCAGGGTATCGTGCAGGCGCAGTGTACTTTCTCTGGCGAGGCAGTACTAGGCTTGGTACCATCAGGTCCCTCACAGCCCTGTATTGCATCCTTCATGCTTAGTGCAGGAAAGAAACGATACAGAGATTCAGCTCTTCCCCAGCAAAAGTGATACCCCTATTTCAGTTCTGTTTTTAATGTGATTTGCATTTAAATCTGACAGTAAGTGTAATGGTCTGTGATGTAGCGTTTATGAACAACTCCAAAAACTTCCCACCAAGCTATGTTACTTTCCTTTCTAGTCACAGGCCCAAAATTTTCATCAAAATGTCACGGACGTAACTGAGTGCAGACTTTGGCTTACTCTGTTCATAAGGCTCAAGATTCATTGCTTCAGAGAAAACAACCTGGCTGAGGCTTAGTTTTTCTGAATGCTTCTGTTAGCAAATTTATTTATGCCCACAAATGTCTCTTAATGTAAAACTTTTTTTGAATTATTTTCTAACTCAGGGATTCACTGACCTGGAGTATAAGAAGCGGAGGGCATTCTTTGCTGACCTTGCTTTTAATTACAGAGAGTAAGTACAAGGCTGCTGAAGAGATAGCAGCAGTTCACATGTGCTTTCAGACATCTTTGTGTGCAAGAAATACCCAACACTTAATCTTTTGTTAACGTATCAATGAAACTATCTTCTAGAAAACAGAATTCAGCCACAGAAGCTTTCACTCCATATGAAATAGATTTTTCCCACAACACAGCAAATATACCTTAAGATAAAAACCTTAGGATTGCGTTCACATCTCCTTGAGTGCTGTATTTTGTCTTAGCAGAGGTGATTATTCAATATGACTCTTTGATTTCAATTTTTCAGTTCCTTTTAAGACTAGCTCCTGAGCTGAGGCTAATCTTAATTTTGAGGAACTATAGGGAACAATGTTTAGGTACATATTTTTAACAAAGAAAAGCAATTTACTATTTTTGCTATTTGTTTGACAAAATGTCTCTGGCCATGTACATTAGCTACCTAAAAAACTCTCAGGTCTCATGTAGGTGAATGAAAATGGTTCTGCCTTTATGTGTAAAACTTCACCAGAATCACTGCTGTCTGATAGAGTCAACAGATGCATAGGTAGAACTGGCTGTGGATTATCAGCCTCGTGGTGGCCAAGAATGGGTGAAATCTCCCAAGTCTTGAGAGACTTGGGGCATTCAGTTTTGGGTGACACAGTATAAGAAGGACATTGAGGTGCTGGAGAGGGTCCAGAGAAGGGCAACAAAGCTGGTGAAGGGTCTTGAGAATAAGTCTTATGATGAGCAGCTGAGGGAACTGGGGTTGTTTAGTTTGAAGAAAAGGAGGATGAGTAGAGAACTTATTGCTCTCTACAACTACCTGAAAGGCAGTTGTAGAGAGGTGGCCATTGGTCTCTTCTCACAAGTTACAAACCATAGAACAAGAGGAAATGGGTGTCAAGTTGCGCCAGGGGAGGTTTAGGTTAGACATTAGGAAAAACTTCTACACTGAAGGGGTTATCGAAGATTGGAACAGGCTGCCCAGGGAAGGGGGTTAATTGGATGTATTTAAAAGCTGTCTAGATATGATGCTGAGGGACATGGTTTAGAAGTGGGCCTGGTAGAGTTAGATAACAATTGGACTTGATGATCTTAAAGGACTTTTCCAGTCATAATGATTCTATGATTCCTATTTGAGTACAGTGTTCTTACCACCACCATATATCACAGCACAAAACAGCACAAAAGCACACAACTGACTCAGAGCTACTGAAGAACCAACAGTGAGGAATAGGAGAGGAGACCACCCATCAATGAAGTCAGTGATAGCCATGCAGTGTATGCCTGGGCAACTCTGCTGATGAGTTTATGAATCTTTCTCTACAATGATACTGTGCTTTTCACATCCTCCAGGGATGGACTGTCCAGGCACACACTGTATTTTCATTGCTAGGTCGCCTTCAGCGGAGATAAAGGTAAGCCTGAAGGCGTCTTTTTTCTTCTGTAAAGCAGAACATGGCTCCTTTTCTTACCATATCCCTCTTTTTACCCCCTACACTGGAACAGAGGAGAAAATGCACACGTTAGAGCCTACCAAGACAAAAAAGTAGTTAATTTTGTACTATTTTGACATTTCTATCTTCATTACAGCAAATATTCATGATGCAGGCAAAGAAAATAATACTTGGAAACTGAACTTGAAACCTGCTTTAGACACATGCATTATTTCTTCTCTTCATTACAGAGGAGACCCTTTGCCTCACATTGAGTACACAGCGCAGGAGACTGCAACTTGGTGAGTTTGTTACTTGTACTCCAAATCCTGGATCCTATAGTATAATTTCTTCTAACTGACCTCTAATTAACCATAGCTATGGTGGTGACAGAAAGATCACCTTTCCAAATCTGTTGCCATGAGAAAATGCCCATTCGCAGGATGGTAGTTCACTCCAAGGATGTGAGTAATCCAATGTTCGTAGGACAAACCAGCCTTGCCTGCTCCCCTGCAATACTCATTGCTGTTAACATGAATAGGCATCACTTTCTCAAACTGAAGGTAAAGGAAATTTTGGAGTGCCCTTCCAGGATACATTATTTACAATGTAAAAAGGCCTTTAATGTCATATGAAATGATGGTAAGTTAGTTTTATATGGGTGCAGAATTTCTTCACTGGGGCTTTGTTTCTCCTGAAGATTTGCCACTCAGAAAAAAAACCCCAAACCAGAAAAAAAAAAACAAAACCAGAAAAAAACCCAAAACCAACCAACCAAAATTAATTCAATTCAAAGTATGTTTGCAGACATTATGTGAAGTATGTAGCAGATTTGAAAGAAAGCAGAGTTCTTATTTCATATAACTCTGTTTCCACTTTCTCCTACTAACTTTAAAAAATCTCAGTAAGCAGCAATAATTACACATTTGTTTGATAATACAAACATAAATATGTCCAAATGTCCCCACTAAGAGCAAAGTCCCAGGATTGTGCAAGGTGTCACATGTGCATGTAATATGAGAGGGTCTTTGTTCAGAAAAGTTAACAATTTAAATGGAGAGAGCCTAAAGGTGGGAAAAAGAAAGAATGATGACCACATTTTATAACTGTGTAACTGAAAAAGCTAGAGCTTAAGCGATTTGCCCAAAATTATACACAAAGTTTATGTCAATGCCAGGAATTAAATCCATACACTAGATGTCTCATGCCAGAACCTCAACCACAGGGACATCCTATCTTTTTCAGTGATCATTTTATTTTAAATAAAACCTACTGTGCCACAGAAAGCTTGAGGGGTGTTACCCACAGTCACATAGAAACCTTGCGTCCAGCTCATCCAGGCAGTAACATTTGTATTAAGCTCAAATAGGTTTTTATAGCATCTTTCAATTGTCAAAGATTGATGGTCGGTGTCATGCTCATGATTGCTACCACCAGCCAACAATCTTGGCATGGGATGGTGTGTGGGAATGTCATATTTAAGAAAATTTAATTTTGTGTTCTTTCCTGTTTTTCCCTTTTGTTGCCAACCTCCGTCATTCCAACCCTTCTCCACCTAGAATTAGTCCCACTGTGGTAACGGAATAGGCCTTTAAAAGAGTATCTGCCTATTTACCCAAACAGCCAGCCCCAGCAACCCAGGTTGTCTTGTTATGTAAAGCTGTTCCCAAAATTAGACCTCCCAATGGTTATCACAGCTCCCTGGGGCTGTGCCCTGAGGTCAGCTGCATTACAGCACAACTTAATTGAGCACTGTGCAATTGAACGGGAAATTTGTAGCGCAGACTAAATTCCCTTGGTGTTCACTCTGAAGAGTTGTTGGATGCCTTCAGTTTGTAGCAACATGGTTATAAAAATGAAAACTAATCAAGTGAAGAAATATGACTTTCAGCAAACAGAGGGTACGGATGATCTGAGTTTCTGTTTTCAAGCAGGCTTTTTGTAAGGCCCTGAAACTAAGTCGTCATAAAAGATGTCTTATGGGTAAAAGCTATATAAGAAAAAGGGAGAATCTAGGACAAAGTTAAGAGTGCTGTGCCATGGGGATGCACCTGTCATGTTTTCATAATACAGCTGAATAGTGCCACCTTTTTCTAAAAGAATAAGGAAATTTATGTATAATAAGGTGATTGTCTTTAAAGTCTTTCAAGTGGCTGGCTCCATCCTTCGTTATGAGGCTCCTTTCTAGAGTATTTCATAGCTCACTTACAGCAGTTTCTCTTTCCATCTCTGGACTGAAGTACCATCAAGTAGCAGCTTAATGGTCCTTTGACCGATAGCACCTCCATACACTGAGACGTTACACCTATTTGAGACACTACCTTCGGGCTAAAGCTAAATTGTTGTCTGGAAATATCTGCTACTCTATTGACTTTGGAGTGAACTCAGATGATTGCCTTAGAGGTACTTAGAGAGGAGGAACACTTAGCTTTGGACAATTCATCACTAGTCTCTGAGACTGCTTACGTTTCTGTGGTAGTCAATGTTTGGACACACAGTAGAATGATACTTCGGTAAAAGAGACCATATGTGCAGAAGTGTAAACAAGTCTGCCCTCTCTAGACTCCAATCGGGGGATGAACTGTGTACTGGTTCAGATCCTATGCAATCCCACTGAAGTCAGTAGTATTCTACAGGGAAATAAGCCAGGGCAACACTTGAACTCTAGTCCTCCTCATTTTTTCCTAATTCTTCTATGGAAATGGCCCAGCCTCCTGTGGCTTTTGCAATAGTGACAGCAGCCACTGTTTCCCTCTGTTCTTTTTCCTCCTAAGGTTTTCCTCCCCCCGCCTTCATTCTGGTTCATTACTCCCACACTGTGTAAGACATTCGTACAAATGAAGAGAGCCATTACCGGGGACTGGCTATCACCTCCATAGCAACAATAGCATCACAAAAAAAATACAATACAAAAACAACAAAAGGTCATTTTCCGTAGCCAGCATTTCCAAGAATGATCTCAATTTTCATAAAACAATGTTTATAAAATTGTTAACACCCTAGGGCCATGTCTGAACAAAAATAACCATTTCTATAAGGTTCTTTGCCATCCTATTACTACTTGTTTATTTTGCAACGGCTAAATATATTCCAAACCACATCTCTAAATCCAAGCACCATCAAGTTGGGAGAAGCTTGAAGCCTGTGCCCAAATCTCGTTATATATACTTTTCTTCAGCTGGTCTCTCTTTTTATAATGGGCTAAATGCTTCAAGAAATTGGCATGTCTTTCAAATATGTAACCCATGCCAGGCATTTTGAACTGCAAAAGTATAAACCTCTTTGCCTGTCCAGATGTTAACCTTCAGTATCAGAAAATGTGCTTTTTGAGGAGGAGGTTTGTAAGAGAATAATGTACAGAATAGGCTTCAGCATGGAGGCGGAGGGACTGGCATTTCAAGTTGTACCCCAATGTAGAGAGGGAGGGAATACCCGACCCATTCCATCCCTAAAATGCACGTCATAGAGAGGGCCGCAGCCTCAGCTTTCTCCCTGGGATTTCCCTGTCACCTTCAACACCCTTATACCTAAGCAAAAAACACTTCCAAATCAGGATTAGAGCCCTGTTACATTAAGGGAGGGTATAGGAAGGGATAAAACAGGTTTGCTGAACGGAACCCACCTTCTGAAGGAAAGGTGAAATAAAGACCCCTTCTGCTTTGCTACATCCACCCAGGCATGGGATTCCAAGCACCAGGTGTCCTGAGTTCAGATTTTTAGACCTTTGGCTATGCTGGGGGTTTATGCCTCTCTGTGGACCTGTAGACAGGGCAGAGAAGTACTGCTTTACTGAGGTGGGTCACGCTATACGGCTTTTGCTTTTCAGGAGAGAAGTCTACAGGAAGCTGAGCAGCCTTTACCCTACTCATGCCTGTACACAGTACCTGGATGCTTTCCAGCAGCTGGAGAAATACTGTGGCTACCAAGAGGATAACATACCTCAACTTCAGGACGTCTCCAGATTTTTAAAAGGCCAGTCATTATGAACCGTGGTTTAGGGTTTCCTGGATATGTTTGTACACCGCAGACACACACAAACCGTCTTGTAGGACCCAAGCTGGTGAGAAGAGCTGATTAGCCGTAGAGTTCCCTCATGCAAGATGAGCTGTAACCGAGGACATTAATACCAGGCATATCTGGGGACAAAGCTGTGTTTGCTCTGTGAGCGGCTGCAGTTGGTGTAGCCCTAACCAGCTAATTCCAGTACTCACAGCAGTACAGGCACAGCAGCATGCTGCTCAGCGTCACTTCCACACACAGGTATTCTATGGGTTTGGCTGTATTTTAAGCTTCTATAGAGATGCTGCTAGTAAGACCTGAAGACGCACACAGGTATGTACCTCTCAAGTCCAATTTTTACTGATGCATGAGACAGGATGGCAATGTGTGGTAGAGGAAATGTTTTCCAGGAGGTCCTGCGAGTCAGTCAGCAGCTGCCTTAAAAAACACTCTTCTTTTTGCCTCTGTGGCCCCACTTGCCAGATCAAACTCTTTGGTGCCTACCGTGTGGCTGACAGGAGAGCAGAAAGGCCATGGTGTGAGTCTGTAAATGCATGAAGATGTGGCCTTAGATGAAAGGACATATTGCTAGGCTGACCTACCTGCTGTTAGCTGGAGGCTGATTAGCAAAGGGCAGGAGAGGAAAGAAGCCTGCATTATTTTTGTGAGGCCACAGACTGCATGGATTCCTAAGGCCAGATGCTTCGTGTCAACAAGCTGATTTCCTATGTTTATCAAGCATGACTAAAGAAAGGCAGTCTTTAAAGCTTCCTTGCTCTTTCTCAGTCTCAAGGAGATGTGCCAGAGAGTGGAGGACAGCTGAGGACTAGGTTGAAATCAATAATAAAAAGTATGGCTTAAGTTTAAATACATTTAATTTAAATACAATATTCAGGAAATCAAGTGACTTACACCATGTATCATTAGGAGATGTGAGTAAGCTTGGATGAGCTTTCTGTTGCTGTCCTCGTTTGAGGTAAAACAGAACCAATTTTGTTCAGTAACTTTGCTTCTTAGCTAGGCCTCTTCTAACTACTGAAATTAACAGCATATTGTGCAGACAATGTTCACTCTCTCAGAGTGATAAGGCCAATGTTTATAGCTGATGCCCAGGCATGGTATGCAGAGAGGCTTTTGCTTATACTTATTGCTATAGCACCCAAGGCCAGCCAACATTGTTATTTGCCCCTTTGGAGGGCTGGAAGAGGAAAAGCATAGTGGAGTCCCACCTGTGGGGAGGAGGGGACAGGACAGGTGACCCAAAACTGACCAACAGGGTATTCCATCCCATCTGCCTCATGCTCAGTATAAAAGCTGAGGGATCAAAGGGTCAGCTCTCTCTTTCTTCAATGGCCGGTGTCTGAGGAGGACTCTGTTTGTCTGCCCTTGACCTGAATGCAGATCCGGAATCCAGTTCCCATCCGTCACTGAGTCCAGCCTGGGAATGCCCCAGAGCCAGCCGGTGACGTGATTGTCATCCTGGGAGCTTGATACGGTTTTGTATATATTTAATTATTTTATTATTAATATTTCATTAAAGTAGTTTAGTTGCTTCTAAACTCTTAAGTCCCTTTTTCCCTCCTCTGCCTCTCTCTTTGAAGAGGGGTAGACGGGAGCATCTGTTGGTCCCGTCTGGGGTCTGATTTGTATCTGATTTGGCCTAAACCACAACAGTTGCTGAGAAGGTTTTCAAGACGTTGCCATTTTTAGGGAAGATTAGGCTGTTTGATGACAAATTTTTTATTTGACCGTTAGTGCAAGGGAATAGAAGGTTGGCATATGAAAAGTGTCTCTCATGAGCATACCAGCACCATCGCATCCAGTTGTAGGAATTTTTCTGTGTATGCATTATGTATTTTCTCATGTGTTTTCCCTTCTATTCAACTATCAATCTTACTTCCCTCCTAGAGTAACTGCGCTGATAAATATTTTTTCTCATGAAGCAGTTGATCTCATCTTAACTCATTTACACAGTAGCTGACAGCAGGGAGTTCCAGAAATAATATGATGCTGATTTGATTACCACAGATATTTATATTCTTTAAGTAAATTGGGGGATTTCAAAGTGGGAGAACTTAGGAAAATGTGAGAATATCGTGTTATAATACTAATTGCATTGCTCATGTTGGTTGACAGGATTTGGTTGCCTGGAGTCTGGGCCTGCTCACTTCTTTTGTAGGCTCTGCTTCTAAATTTTCTCTATGCCATACAAACTATCCTAAGCACAAAAAAAAAAAAAAAAAAAAAAAAAAAAGAGCAGTAAAAATGGCCATTCTGAAATTCTGCTAATAATCATTGGGAAGATGTTCACAGTTAGTTTCAACTCATCTACTATAAACACAGAGTGTCTAGTGTAAGCTAATTGTATGAACTATTCTGGCTGGGAACGAGATCCAGGCAATTCAGAGGCATTTTATTCCATCCTGGAATGGGTGTCTAAGGAAAATGGAAAGAGTGGCTCTCAAGAGCACTGGTCATACCCTTCTTAAACTGTAGATAAAACCTAAACCAGTTTAGCCTACAGGCTTTGTAAAAGATTGTGCATAGATAGAACAAAGTTTGTTCAGAAGATCTGTGTTTACAGCTAGATGCAATTAAAAGTAACTGATATCTTCCTTATCTTCCCTCGAAAGGGCATTTCACTATGCAGAATACTTTCTAAAATAGCATGAAGATTGACATTATTGCAAGCTCCCCTTGCAGCAAAGTCAGTCTAAGTCAGAAGTATCTGCAAGGTCTGTAAAATCTGTGTTAAATCTCATGCCAAGCAGCCCCTGGGTAAGGGGTATGATTTATAAGGAGTTCCGATTTATTACTGATTTGGGTGGCTTTTACTATCAGTGTCAGCAAGGCCAGAATTTTGCTTCTTATAACTCATCCAATCAACTGTGTGCTTAGGGTCTTTCCTGTGTTAAAGGTATGCAGTGTTCAACCAACCAAGCCTCAGCCAAACTATAGCCTGTGACGTGTCTCCCAAAATTCCTTGGCATATGGTGGATGTATTTCAACTGCTACAATCTATGTGAAACCTATGTGCAGTTCCTCCTGTCACAGGGCTCTGGGTGGGTCCTGAACTGTCCCACTCTCCCAGTTAGGACATAAAACCCAGTGTGTGGCTTTGCTGAACACTGCCCCTAAGGATTAGACCATTCTTTAGCATAGCTGACCATAAGTCTTTATATATGAAGTTATAGGGATGCAGAGAGAGAGAGAGAGGGGAGTGTCCTGGAGAGAAAGTGATCATGCTATAACCAGTCCACACAGCCACATGAACTTCCACCTTCTCTTTTACCCAGCAGTATCTGAGAACTCAAAGCAAGCAATTCCTTTTGACTTCAATACAAGTTGAACTAAAAGATCTGTCTAGTGTCACCTGGTCTGCTTGTGAGCCTGGTTTGAACAGAAATGAACCCCACGTCATAAGTATTTCATAATTACTTAAGGGGAATTTAAATGGTTAACCATGTGACCATTTATCATGCCAAGTGCTTTTCTAGAGGGTTAACTAGATGAACCTAGGCGCATCTTTCTTTCGAGGAAAGATGTCTGGATTTAGGCAATCATTGTCCTCCTCAGCTGGAAGAAATTACAGCTAGTGCAAGCTCATACTACAACGCACAGGCTTGTATACAGGAGGTTTTTAGGCCAAGAATTAAGCCTTACAGATCACTTTAGGTCAACTGCTCAAGACCTCCTCTTCAACTCATTCTGATTTCAGAGATCTTTGGGCAGCAGGTCCAATCAGCCACACCCCCAATTCTCTACTGAATTGTGCAGTAATGCAATAGGAGTTCAGATTTTGCAGATATTACCTTCAGCAGATAACTTTTTCCTATGGCTTTTCAAGGCAACTGGCCAAGTCTGTTTCATCAGCAGACTGTCTGATTCACTGGCCTATATTTAAAAGGGCATCTCAGGGAACATAAGCTGTAATTTTCATTTTCCCTCCTGCTCCTCCAACATGGATGCTAAAGCAATATAAATTTCCCTAGACTTTTTCATAGTCCTTCCAAAACTGAGTTACTGAGGGCTGGGTGCTTGTCTGATATATTTTTCAGCTGGTGCAGTTTTCACTTCACTCAGACTCAGAATTTACCCCCAAGATGACCGGATTCTGAGCTTTTCATGTTCCTCTGTATTGACTTGGTACAGCATCAGCAGCAAGGCAGTACCCTTCCATGCCAGCTCCTGGCCAGTGCTTAAGGAGACATAGCTAATGGTCTGTCTATTCCCCCCAAACACCTTGCTTTCTTAATTGTGGAGCGGGGAGAATAGTAACCTGCTTTACAACCGCTTCCAATTTTCTGGTTGACTCTGAAGCCTTTGCTCAGCATATAGAAACCTTTGCACCACTCTGCAATCCACTGTGCTTCAACAGCAGCTCCTACAGCACTGAAAAGACAGCATATAGACAAATCTAAAGACATAGTTGCCACAGGTTTATTTGCTGTTGTTCAGCTTTTAGGCAGTTCTGTGCCTAAATGGTTTTATGATTAACTAATTACAAGAAAACTAGCATTTCTGCTTTACCAACAACACCAGGACCAACAAAGCCCTCACACTGTTACTGGCAAAGGTGTGATGAGAGTTTACCCTGATTGTAAAGTTTCTGAACATCTTTGATAGTCTGGATGCTGGCTGACCTTCTGAAGAGGCCCTCTACTTGTAGTCCTGAATTACCTTTTAATTCAGTGGAGCAATAGAAGATAACCATGGCAAATGTTAACCACCTAGTCCCTCACATTGTCAGGTAGAAGCATTCCTTCCTGTTCACTCTTTTTTTGTCCTGTATGGCTTCAGACGTTTTGTCACTTCTAATTCTTCCAGTGAAGCTTTTTTTCCCCCTCTTCTCTTCTCTTCTCTTCTCTTCTCTTCTCTTCTCTTCTATTTTTTTTTCTTATGAGAAAAGTGCTAATACCCAGACAGAGCAAGACAAGAAATGCTGGAAGAAACATTGAAAACCAAACCAAAACAAATCTTGTAAATGGCTTGGTTTCTGGGTGGGATTTTTTTGTTTGTTTACATAAAATAAATTAGGTTCCAGGCTTCACGACACAATAGAATATGGATAGAGAAGGGAGAATAAAGCAATTTCTGAATTTTTTTAAAATGTAGTTTTATGCTTTAAAGAAGATGAAATGTCATTTATGGGAGCTGAGAATGCAACACAGATTTTGAATATAGGACTTCAAAAAGATTATCATTGGCTCCGTTTTAAAGCAGTGATTTTCAATTTTCTTAGCTTTGCAGACCACCAACATGTTTCCCATGGAAATGGAGATTATGTAGTCTGCTGACCATAGGACTTGTTATTTTGTTAATTGTCTCTCACAGACCTTTCATAGCAATGTAGGGTGTCCTGGGGTAACACTGATAGCACGAGCTGAAATCACTGTGCAAAAATATTGCATTCTTCTGTCCCATTCTATGGACACATGCAAAGCATAACATGTATGATCATATCACTGAGAGTCTGTGTAGTTAGTTCTAGACAAACATAATGGTGAAAAAAAACCAGAGAGGAAACATAGGTGAGAGTATTGATGGAAACTCTGATGTTAAACAGTTAAGGGCCAAATTCCAGCACCCTTATCTCTGACAAGGACCTGTTTGCTCTTTCTCCTGCACGTTCCCATTCTAACGAAGTCCAGGCAGAAAGATAAACTTGATAGCAAGTTTTGCCAGTGCTGAGCTAGTTTATACATGTAGAACATGCACTGACAAAGGGAAATAAAGTTGAATACTATGTTCCAATTCTACCACTGGGGTAGGTTGAACTGGGCCCATTGAGGAACCGAATTGCCCAGGCTGGAGCAGACCCATGGTACACCTATTTCTGTCTTCAAGTGTGCAAGGTACCAGGGGTTTCAGTGTACCGCAGGAGGGGGCTAAACAGTAACCTAGCATCAGGGAAGAGCCAGGTGCTCTCAGACAAGGGTAGGGGTGGGGTGTGTCCCTTGTCAAACTCCTGTTTATCTCTTACATATGTTATAGAAGAAATGAATCAAAGAATTAATAAACTGGCCAGGACTGAAAATGCAGGTTCTGTCCCCTGCTTGATCATAAGAATCTTGTGTGACCTCAGATACATCATTGACGCATGGGACATAGTAGATAAATGTTTGTAAATGTGCTGAAACTGGGGTAGGCGGTACTTCCACAGTTCATATCATTGCTGTGTGAATACATGTAGGTAGGATGATTAGGTGATTTAACGTTACAGTAATTAGACCCATAACAGTACAGTGGAACTTCAATAATGAAAAGTGAGGATGTTCCTACTATGCATGGGTGGAGGGTTCTACTGCAGCAGAGCATGAAGGCCCTCTGAAACTGCTTACTTGAAGTAAGTGTGCCATGTAGTTAACCTTAGAATCTCCTAAATTCAGTCTCACTTTCCTTTGCAGAAAGAACAGGTTTCCAGCTGAGACCAGCTGCAGGACTGCTGTCCGCTCGTGACTTCCTTGCCAGCCTGGCATTTCGTGTCTTCCAGAGCACACAGTATATAAGGCATTTCTCTTCTCCTATGCATTCCCCAGAACCGTAAGTTTGATGCCCTGATACAATGCCATCCTTCTTAATGTGTTGGGGATGATTCCCTACGGAATGGCTCTGGAGCTCTATCCAGTAGTCCACAGAATGAAATAATTTGAGAAACTGGTAGCTGGAGAGTTAGAAGGGGAAGTCATGCATGAGAGGGTGTGGGTCTCTGTCTCTCTTGCAAAGTTGTCTGGGGAAGGAAAAGACTGGAGAATATCTGGTTTAATCTTTTCATCCTGCCTTCATTTACCATCTGCTGGGGTTTGATTCCCTGCTGTGAAACTCTCCCAGTAAGTGCTGGCCAGACAACAGCAATTACATTTCATGAGAAATTACAAGTTCGCACAGATGCTTTTGTTGTATGCTGGGACAAAACAGGGGCCTTTCAAAGATGTTGTGACATGGGAGACTAGTGTCCGTGCCATCCCAAGTGAGACAATAGCCAGGATAGTGGGGGGCAGCTAGCTCCCCATGGCAGGCAGAAGGGAATGTTCCTGTCACGCTCCCTGCAGAACCAGGCCAGGTATGAAGGCAGCTACTGCAGAGCAGCCCTCACACTAGCTCCCTTTGGGGGTCTATTGGCTAAAGTCCTTCATGGGAAGTTCATGTAGGGCAGGAAAATTAAACATTAAAGTCACTTGTTTTCCAGAGACTGCTGCCATGAGTTGTTGGGTCATGTTCCCATGCTAGCTGACAAGGAGTTTGCCCGGTTCTCACAGGTAAGAAGCTCGTTCTCTTCTCTCTTTACTCAACTGCCCTGGATAGCAGGCCAGATGTGCCTCAAAGGCATGCAGCTCACCAAGCTTGAAATGCTATTTTAAGACTTGATTGTGCCTGAGTTGCAGCCTCCGGGGGTGTTGGGCCAGCAGCATCCCAGGAGACATTTACTCCAAGGGAGTGGTAGCACTGCTCCCGATGGACATGGTGTAAAAGGAAGGGCAGGCTGTGCTTGTGGGACTTCTCTGTGGGAGGGCCATGTCAGTCTGCAGACGGATGCCAGTGGAGCCTCTGCGGCACTGCGTGTTTGAGCTGTAGACTACGCTGTTCCCCTGGCTTCCTGTCCTACACCACATGAACCTAACCAGCAACAGCCATCGAGCCCTCAGGCTCGTTCTGTCTCTGGATGTACATTTTTATCTCACATGATACTTTAATTGTGTCCACTACCATGTCATTCATTAGACATGTTTTTCCTTTTACAACTCGCCAGATTCTCACAGCATTGCTCACACTGGTGAGGAGGCTCCAAAAAGCAAACAGGTCTTCTTTGTACAATAAGGGGATGTCTAGTACGGGCAATCAGAGTCAGACCCAAGTGAACTCAATGACCGCATATAGTTAAAGACTTCAGAACTATGAACGTGCCTCAAAACTGCAGCAGAAGGAGGAAGATAACTCATATTCTATGCTTATCAACCAGTGGCCAGTGTGGAAACTGGCAATAAGTGCCGAGGGGCTACACGATGTAGGTCCCTGTCCGAATATTTTAAAAAGAGAGCCCGTTCACCTCATATAATGTACTTTCCAGTTCTATCAACTTGGATACATGCCAGATTCCATTTTGGTCATAAATATTGGTTATTATGAGATTCAGATGAGTAGCGCTTAAAATATCCTATTGGTCTATAATTTGTTCTGGAAGAATAAATACCAGAACTGAAGACACGTTAGAAATAAGAGCTTATAGCAATTTCAAAACTTTCAGCTTTCCTCTTTTCCCATCTGTAACACAGACTATACAACATGGGATCACATTAAATGAATTTTCACATTTCACTTTTTTTTTAACAAAGTATTCTCACAGTTTAAATTCGCCCCATGAAAATCTTTTTTGTTCCATTCAACATGAGACCATGAATGGTGAAAATACCCTAATTTTGTTTGCTTGCTGCATGATATGGCTCCCAGGATCACATCTACAGATTCCTATTGTGAGAATAACAACAGGGAGCACAGATGAGAGTAAACAGAATCCTCCCTGCACAGATCTGACCCACTCTTAAGGGCTGTCAGAAAGAGAGTGAGAGACAGAAAGGTAATGGCAAAGATAAAACCCACCTTGCTGTCCTTCCTTCTCATGCCTCCCTATAAATCTCTGCCAGGGATAGTCCAGCATTAAGCCAAGAGATGGTTAACTTTGCACAGGGAATGCTGAGGATTAAGCACTCATCTAATGTGGCTCCCAGTGGCACGTAGCTGGGGGCCAGGGAGAGGTAGGCATCCTGGAAGCCATGGAAGGTCATTTTGGGTGATAAAAACAATGAATAGTTCATGCTATTCATGCTAGAAATGATGTGGTCCTCCCCCTTCCCCTCTTTCTCTCCCTTGGGCTGAATAATCACACTAGTGTAACACTGCCTGCCTGCTTACTTGCTTTAGGATATTGGACTGGCTTCTCTTGGATCATCTGAAGCAGAGATTGAGAAACTGGCCACAGTAAGTACAGATGGCAGTTTAATATCAGAGGCAAAACCCAAACGATTCACTGCATATCCCTTACTGTGCAGGGAAGGCTCTTCTCTAGTGTCTCAGATTAGCCACAAAAATGGGATCATCAGCAGGATTGCCTCTTCGCCTCATCCACAGGTTAGGGAGGTGCTGGAGCAGGGGCTGGAGTCCCTTTGGGGGAGCCCAGAAGCACGTGATTCCACCTGAGGAAATGCTTATACTTTTTGCTTCTATTAGAATATACTGCTGAAGCTGAGTTTCTACAATTTCAGCCACAGGAAGGTCCCGATTCTCTTTCCAGATTCGCCTAATAGGCTGGATACCCCTTGTGATTCCCGCATTTTCTCCTACACAAGGTGCAGGGGACCATCAGAATTTGATGCACCCTGTATTCATGAATCTCACAAAATAGGTGAGCTCTTAAAAGCAATTTGACAGCAGGTACTGTCATTTGGTTCTGAGTCACTAGGCTATATACATCTGCCAAAACAACTCACGCAGGCCCTTGCTGCCATCTTAACTTGGTCTGAAAGTGGGCTGGAGGTCAGATGATTTTCTTAGGGCAGCCATTTCTCAGTCTTGATGATTTTTTCAGGGGAGGAGAGGAGCCTTACCCTCACCCAGCTGGGTGAGGCTCATTCAGGAAAGGGAGTAGATGGGAGTCTGTCACTCCTGAAATTCCTCACCCAGCCCACAGCCCCACTCATGGGGAAGTGGAACGAAGCACTGTGTGAAGGAGATTATGGCTCACCTAAAATCTATCTGCATGTGTCCATCCTTGGGTCAGAACTAGGTAAGGCTAGTGGAATTTTTAGAGTTGGGAGTGGAAAAGGTCACAGTGCTGGATTTTTTGTGGCATCATCCAGGTCCTGGGCTGGTGATGTGAGGTGACTGTGTGGGAAGAGGCAGTGATGTGTCTACATTTCCTCTGCAATTACGCCTCTCTAGGTCCCCAGAGGCTAGAGTAAGATTAAGATCCATGATTTTGATGGTGCTAAAAAAATTATGGGTCCCGGAGAGCCATTTTGCATCGTTATCCACATCTTGGTGAGATTGGGTGAAGGCCAGTGACTTACATAGCATTCCTCTGCAAGCACCCCTCTCTGATCCTGGACTGGGTAGGACTAGATCGGGTTTAGGTTAGAATAACAAAGCGACTTAGATCTGAAATGGTCATAGTATCATCTAGGGTTTGGGGAGGTAGAATAAGGGAACCTTTCTGAAAGGGCTACCTGCAGTTTAGAATCTGTGAGAATACAATTTTGTAAGCGCTGTTCAAGTATTCCGAACAGTAACCATATTCTGGATTAACATCTCAATATTCAATTGTTTAAAAGTTAGACATCTAATCTAGGCTTATTGTTTAGGTTTCTTCACTAGAAAGTGAAGATAGAGAAGAACCTGTAATGTATTCTCTACCCTGACACAGATGTCTCACACAAATTCTTTTTTCTCTTTGGAAGTCTCTGTCATTCTCTGTCCATTATAAAGAGAACGTAGGTAACTAGCTCAGATGAGATGACAATATTTAAGCTAACTGAAAGTTTATTTAAAGAATCTCAGCTTGGCTTGTTGTTACGGTCTATAACATTTGTAAGACAAACTTTGAAATGCCACTATTTCATTCAGTCCGCAGACCTAAGCAGATAGATCTGTGCCCAAGAGATGGGAAATTGCCAGTGTTCATGTTGTCCGCAGAGTGCCACTAGTACCATGTCCTGTACCCTGTTAAGACAGTGAGAGACGAAAGAACCTTACTAACTAAAAGCCTCACAGGATATCTAAGGAAACACTAAAAAGAATTATTCTTCCTCTCATGTCTCATTTTCCAGTCAAAAAGACCTGCAAAATGAGGAGATACTGGAAAGACTTTTCACAGAGAAAAAAAAAGAATCAAGATTATAAACACAATAAGAATGCATAATTATTAGCTGAACTGTAAGAGAAAGCAGCTCAGAATTCTGCAGAAAGATCGTGGCATGCTATTTCTTTAGTGGTAAATTTGCAGGCTAAAACCAAGTCATCAAAAGTATGAGACGTATGAAAAAGGCTGGGAGAAAAAGAGAAAAAGAGAGGCAGAATAGACAGGATAACATAGAGATTCACATTATTTTATGGACTGCCACCAGTTCTTTGAGAACGGTGCTGAGAATGCAATACTTATGGCTGAACTGAAGCCAAGGTCCAGCCCTGTGTATGAGGCAGCAAAGAGCTATGTGTCCCTAAAGGAACCTTGAAGAGTTGTGACACAAAGCCGTATTCTTGAAATGCCTCATGTTTTGCATGTTTTTCTTTTGCACAACACCTATCCAGCAGCTCAGGGGTCAGGCTGTGTCCAGAGTTGGTCTTCCACTGTCCATTTCCTTAAATGCTATAGTAAGGGAAGGGCTAACAGGTTGGCAGAGCCAAGAGGTGCTCTTCTCCCAACATTTTCCAGCAGGTATAATCCTAAGCATGCTTTATTGAAAGAAAAGCCCAGAGAGATGTATCATTATTTTCTACTAGAGCATGATAAAGATGCCATTGGCATAATCTTAAAGGGCACATTGCCGCTAAGGGATAAGTCATTCTTCAGTTCTTCTGAATGCCATCACACAGACAAAGGAGGAGGGAAACTGTCCTTTCAAGTATACCTTTCTGAGGGTATCAAACCCTCTGGGAGAGGGTCTACCTCTCTTTCTGGGGACTATGGGCTGAAATCTGTCAGTTCCCTCTGACTATAATGAAGCTAATAGCTTGCAAGGTAATTTGTAAAATCTTTCAAAAAAAGAAGGGGATAGGACATTATGACATTATTTACCCATGTAATTATCATTAGCCTTTTTTTTTTTTTGAGAGTGAGAATGGGAAGGATGGCAGGTTTTGAAAAAATATGTTATAATCTGTGTGTGTTATGTATGTTGGGAGAAAAATTAATTTTCTTAAAATATACAACTATAAAATTTGAAGATGCAAAGACATTAAGGAATAAGGATAAAAGAAAATGAAAGAAAAAATGAGAAGCTTAAAAATGAACTGCCTGTTAAGATTGTTTTACACAATTTGCTCTTATTACCAGCTTTATTGGTTCACTGTGGAGTTTGGTCTCTGCAAGCAAAACGGATCCATCAAAGCTTACGGGGCAGGACTGCTTTCATCTTATGGGGAGCTTATGGTATGTGTCAGATGTATGGTACTGAAATATTTCTATAATGCAGCTTTCTAAACTCTCTGGTAAAAGCAAAATATTATTTCCTCCCATAAAACAATATGATTTAAAACACTGACTTTTCTTTTGCAAAGAAATAGATTCTCCCTTCCCAGAAGCTACTGAGAAGGGGTAAAACTACTGTAGGATTGTACCTGTCTTCCACCTAACGAGATGAAATGCAACAAAAGCAACCAACTCTATAAAGTATTAGATTTGCTTCTTACTGCTCCTATCCACTAGTAATGCAGTTGACTTTAACATAAAACTCAGGTACCTTTCTGAATTACTCACTAGAGGGCAATATTATGCCTATTATGAGCTCTGCTACTTCGTCATGCACATATGGATCAGAAAAGCACTGACTGACTGGACCAAATAGAGTGTGGAGAAACTGCAAATAGCATGGACCCTGATAAAAAGAAAATGCTTTAGGATTTTACTTCCTAAATAAGTTTTAAAACTAATACCAGCTCGAGTTTTATGTAGATGAAAATCTGTGTACATAGGTTTGGTACTGCCCTGCTTGGACATATTAGTGTGTAAAGAGGGACTGTGCACCTTTGCAGAAAGCTTACAGGTTTCCCCTCCTTCAGACAAACAGTTGGTAGGGGATATATTAATTTCTCCTCAGTTTTTCATCTGCACTGAAATACATGATCGTTTCTAAGCACAAAAAAGCCCTGAACTGGTATCAGTAGGTCTCAATTGCTTCAGGTTGTGCAGATACTGGATGATTGTTTTGAACTAGTAAGAGCCAAAGGAAAATAAAAAGCACCCTTTTCAAGCGTTTTTATAAATCAGAAATCAATTCTTTCATGAGAGGTATATTTTAAGATTAATGCATAGACGCAACAGCCTAGCAGCCAGCTACATAGTACATTCACATGGAACCACGGCTGAATTAGCACAGCTTGGACTCCCATAAGTGGAGATAGTTGGATTGTTATGACAATAAACCTATTACAAAACTCTGCTAATGGTATACAGGTCAGCCCCCTTCCCAGCCAAGTGACAGAAGGAAGAAACTATATGTTAATGTAACCAAAGACATTTTTAATAGGAGTCCCAACAGAGAGGCAGTTGAGACTTAACATATAGAAAGGGGAACCCTCCCAGACATCAATCTTCATTTTGCCACCTGCTGAGTTTAGCACCAGTTTTCTCCCAAAATTTGCAATTTGTTGGTATATGATTGCAACTCTTGCAACTCTGTGGTATACGATTTGCAGAGCTTTCTCTCTTGTTAAGCTGAGAGATCTGCATGCTCATTAGCCTTCTAGGGAAATACATACGCCTTCCTTTCTGCATAACAACTTTATCTTGTGCCTGACTGCTCCTGACCGTGAGCAGAAGTGCGCTAGCGCTATCATGGCACTTGTCTGTAGACCAGTGAAACTTATAGTTTTGAAACAGCAGCTCAATGAACTCCCCTACAAATTAGATTCCGGTGCAATGCATTTGGTTTACATGTCTATCTGCTCTAGGATAAGGCTGAAGCTACTGCTTTTCTGAGAATCCTTCAGCGCTTGCTATATTCACAGCCAACAAACAGGAAACCTAGGCTTGCTTTTTTTTACCTTGTAAAACCAAAAAGATCCTATATCAAAGCACAGTTGAAGGTAACATTTATTCTACCCTGCCCGCCTACTTTATAGTTTTAAATCAAATTAATTTACATGTTAAACAGGGTACTAATTGGCAGAAGTAATAATTTGTCAGACACTTATGTAGCTTTCATAGTAATATGCACCACAGAATCAGTCTGCATGATTTTTCTGTCTAATTTTGACACCAACGAAGGTAAAAGTGAGCATCAGAAATGCTCACTTTTGGTGGCTGGAATTGAGCGTACCAGACGTGCTCTCTCTCTTTCTACTCTTTCCTTCACCAGACACCAACAAGCTCTTCTACTTTTGATTAATGTAGTAAGCAAGAACTGCTTGTTCACAAAACTGTGCTATGTAACACCAAAATTTCACTGTCTCTAATTCCCTATCTCTAAGGTTGACAATGGAAATAGTAACTGTCCTTGAGTTGATAAACGGAAGACTCTTGTCATTGCTTTTATCGTCAGTAGTTGTTGGGTAATGCTTCTGGATAAACTTTTGACACAGCTGGGTCCACCTAGGTCTTTATCCATCATATTACTGAAATTAGATGCAGATGTGATAACATTTATGTTCAATAGGTAATGAAGAAGGATTTCCCCCCATTCCAAAAGTGTGTCCATCTTGCATGTTACACCTCAGACAGTCTGAAGATGAACATAAGTAGTTCATCAAAAAAGCTCCTATGTGGCTGGTACAATCCTTGTGTGAGCTCTGCAAGTTCATTACTCTGTAGCTTTTGGGACAGCAGCCTAATGGGTTCTGTGCACTTCACCTCGAGCGTCTGAAAATTCTTGTACACAAATTAATTATATCCATGGCCTTAAGTGCTGAAGTTTCCTTTTACAGCTGAGAGATTCATCTCACAGATTTTTATTTGGAACAAAACTGAATTAGATAAATGTTTCCATTTAATCATTCTAGTCTGCATAAGCATCTGATTCTACCTTCAGCATAGGCAGAGGCAATGTACATAAAGTGCTGAGGTCCTATGCCTGAGTGTACCTGCCAGCAAATTGAAAATGTATACCAGCTATTTCTTTTAGAGCTGAAGAGAGGAAATATGTGTAATGTAGTGTCTACTTCGCAGAAGGGATTTTTTCAGAAAAACAGCAGTGGCTAGGCAGTTTTGTTAGAGAAGATGAAGACTGGAAGGTAGCGAGGCTCATGATACCCTTCAGTTTCTTGCAGAGCTTATTTCGCAGTCTTAGACTGGCTCTTGGGAAAGCTCTAGATAAGTTTTGCTGCTGCTTGAGAGAAAGCTGTTGTCCACCCTGATAATTATCTGCCAGTCTTCTCAGTATCAGCCCAGACATGGGCTTGTGGATGAAGGCCCCAAATTCGATTCTATATCATTTAGCTGATCAGCATATTTGGCACAGGCAGACTCACTGCAGGTCATGTCACCGAGGAGGCACGCAGCAGCAAAGGAGGGGTTTCCTCATCACTGAAATCTTCTGAACCAGGAATAGCAGCATGGTTTTGTCTCTGAAGAGGCAATAAAGGCACGAGTTAGTAAGGCTAGGTGGATGGCTGCAAGAAGATAGCATCTAACCAGCTGGAGAGAGTGAGCAGCAGTACGTCCAGCGAATGTTATGTGAGAACTTAGCATCAACAAGGAGCCTAGGAACATCCCTGAACTGTAGCCTGGACTGATGGTCTGTGGGTGTATGACTGTAACCCACGGAACCACATCCTGACTATGAAATCTTCAGAATGTTTTCCTCTTCTCCACAGTACCCACTCTGACCTGTTTGAACTCAGTTTCAGGTAGTTTTTTTTTTCCATGGATGAGCTGATCCCACCCAAACTCAGGGCATAACTTGGGAGAAAGGCAGAGGGTGAGAAGTAGAGCTGGACGCCCTCTGCGTGAGACTTACACTTGAATCCATGTTACCTAAACAAATCCTTTAGTGAGAGCAGCTAGGTATCAGAAGGGAAAGGATAACCATACCCAAGTCTAAACTGAACAGTTGTAATGGGTCTGACTGCTGGCCAACCTTGCCTCCTCTGAACTGTGAGTATTCCTCCCCAACAGCTCTTGGTATTGCACTGTTTATTTCACTACATTCTGTCAGCTGTTCTACATTATCCAAAATGCTTCTCCTGTTAACACTCAGCTGGACTCTGTCCTACATACTGTAAAATCTTATGGCTCATACCACACTTCTGGCAGCACTCAGTGCTACACATGCTTTTCTTGCAGCACAACAAGTACTTAACTTGTAGAGGCCTTTAAGGCCATCCGGTTTCAAGCTGAACTTCCACTGAAGTCAATGGGATTTCAGCTCTGCTTCAACACTGCTTCAACAATGTGGGACCCCTATCAGATTTTGAGTTTCTGAAATCTTTTCCCATTAGTCCCCAGAGCTTTTAAAATTATAAGAACAGCCTCATGTTTGTGTATACCATCCATCTTAGATTGTATGAGTGCTCTCTGAGGTTTACTCTTCATTTACACACTGCAAACGAAGAATAGGAAAAACACCATCTTTTAGCATTTTATATTCTTATTCTTTTTTTTTTTTTTTTTTTTTAAAAAAAAAAGGCCCTCTATTAATTTCTGCACTATTTTTTGGCAAATTGGCTTATTGGTTAAGGCAGGCCTCCAGTGATGGAGAGGTCAGGCTCAGTTCAGTGAAATATCTAAAAATATGCTTAAGGGTACTATCTGAATTTTTCCAGTTAGCAGATTGAGCTGTAAGTCTTGTGCAGTGTCACCCACTCTTACCAGTTCTTTACAAGTACCATGGGAGCTGGCCTTTGGATCATAAAATAGTGAAGGGAGCCTTCTGAAGGCTGGTAAAGAAGAGAGAAAGACAAACAGGCAGACTTCAAAAAAGGGGTTGGTGCTGAAAGACTGTCCCTGGGTGGTTGGGGCCCACCGACCAGGCTGAAGGCAGAAAGTAAGCTCTCGATGTTGACTGGGATGAGTTGCCTTTTTCCTTTTTGTTTGTACCCAGGACACTTCACCAAAGTGGCCACCTCACTCACCATCCTGGCTGACTGGAGGCCAAACTAGCTTTTAGGCACATCTACAGTGCAGTTCAAAAGGCACTGGCGCTGAGCGAGCTTTAAACTAGCTCACTCGCGTCTTAGGGGCAGACAAACGGTTCAGGAACTCATGTTGAGCCTGAGCTGCCCTCCCTTCCCAGGACCCTGTGCAGGTGCTAAACAACCAACACCAATACCTACACAATCACACTGCCACCAGCTCTGCTGCTGGCCGGATTAAAGGTAGCTCCAGTATCTAAACAAATTATAAATGTGCCTATGGACTGCAGTGTAGACATAAGCGGCTTCCATAATCCTACTGTCTGCCTGAGGGGAAAATATAGAAGAGTCTGAGAAAAATGTAGAGGACATCCTCTGTGGGCACAAAACACAAACATGCACACACAGAGTATAGTTAGGCTGTGTAACTGGCATGGGAGCTGTGCAGAAAATGCCAGGAGCATTCTGTCTGTTCTTCAGCACAGGAGGAAATGTGAGATTTGTGACACCGGCTGCGGACTTGGAAATATTGCTGCACAATACTGTAAATCTTCTATGATACTGGTTGAAAAAAGCAGAATGATATTATTGTTTCTTCTAGATATTCAGATTTTGGGGGGTGGCATAGACTTTCCCCTCCCTGTCTGAGAATGTGGCTATGGTATGCAGTCATACATCACTGTAATACAGAAAATATCTCTTTCTTTTTTCGTCTTCTTCTTTTTAAAAAATATTTTTATTTGGTTTATCAACTGCTAATTATGAAAAGCAGCTTTCACCTGTGAAAGTCTGGGAATTGATATTACCTTTAATTATTCCACAAAGAGCATTTCACAGCCCAGTAGGCACTAATTCTTGCTATGTTCATTCACCTGTTCTAACCTGTGTTGTTCCTGTTACAAAGTACGCTTTATCAAACAAGCCAGAGTACAAGCCTTTTGATCCAGAAGTGACTGCAGTTCACCCGTATCAGGATCAAGCCTTCCAGCCTGTCTATTTTGTAGCAGAAAATCTGGAAGATGCCAAGGCCAAGCTTCAGTAAGTAAAGTGTGTGTATTTTCATTGAGGGGGGGATCACTGTCTCAAATCCTAACCTCAAATACATCTCCTGCTACTGCAATAACCATGCCACGCAATCTCACCACACACTTCATCTGCACGATGGCTTTTTTACAACAAAGTTAAACATGAGGTTGTTTACCTGATAAAAGCTTCACAGAAAAACATGGCTATATATTATTATGCTCCATCCCATACTTCACCTTAGCAATGCCTTATTTTCCAACTTCTGTAGCTGGATAGGGAGAGTAGAGCACAATCCCACAGTTAGGTGCATCTGTGCTAGTCCATACAAATAGGAGGTCGTGAAGAACTGATTTATCCAAGGTCACATGGAAATTTTATAGCAGACTCAGGAATTAACATGGATCAGCAGGGGTCTTAAAAACAAGATTGCCTTTCTCCTCTGATTATATCTGCACAAGAATGCAGAATCAGCATTCACAAGCAATCTAATTTCTACAAAGTAGCTGACTGCAACCTAAATAACATTATTTCAAATTAGCTTGAGGTGTTTCTAAATGCATCTCTTTGACTGTGCAGTAAGGATTTTTTAATTTTTTTTTTTTTTTAAAGTAAGCAGGGCTTAAATTCTGGCCTTCATCTCCAACAGTTAGAACAACATGACCAATTCTGGCTGGAGGCAGGAGGCTGGTTGTGAAGCTGCTGGGGAGCGTGAAGGAGCTGAAAAGAGGAATTTATTAGAGGAAGAGAACCTGGGCCAGATTTCTTACCTACTCCCCTGACTTCTTCCCCAGAAGCACTGTCTGCTGGGGTTATAGCAATGGCAAGTTAGGCCCCTTGTCTTAAATCTGAAGGTTCACACTAAATTATTAAAGTGCATAAAAACATGGCTGAGAACTCACTGGCAGAAGAAAGAGGACTTTCAAGAGCATTTGACTCAGGCAAACCTGAAAAGAACTTACAAGGACAAGGAATACACCATTCTCAGACTTGAAGCTTTTTCATACATTTTTTGAAGACAGTTGCTCAGCCAAAGCTGCTCAAAATAATCGAAGGAGCAAGAAACTGTCAGAATGGAAAACATAAGGCAACATCAGTACAGGGGCTTCCTACCAGCATGTAGTGGAAACATTGTCAAAAATGGCAAGCAATCATGTTTTTTCTTTCAACAGAGACGGCAAAATAGCCCAGGATGCATAGAATCAACAGGTTCTTAAAATTTTACGCAGAAAGAGCTACTCCAGGTTATTTCTTGGAAGCGAAGGAGGCAGACATGCTGTGTTGCTGCATTCCTCAGCTTGTGGTTGTAATAACTCTGAAGTGTGTTAACGCAGAGCTGTAAGAGCACAGACAGGTCTGAGCCAGCCATGCTGAAAAGCAGGCACTGCAGACCTTTTGGGCTGCAAGTAGTTCCGCTGTGGAGAGGATATACTGCACCAAACAATGTTAAGGAGTAACAGTGACTAGGGTCTCACAGCAACCTCTTCTCCCAAATTAGTCCATGCCTACATACTGAGAAATTAGGTCGTACATGTTCTACATTTAGGGAAATGGCTTCTGAACTAGCAGCTCTGTCTTCTTCCCCCCCAGAAACTACATGATGAAGATCAAGAAGCCCTTTTCTCTGCACTACGACCCATTCACCAGCAGCATAGAGGTTATGAACACACCTCAGAAAGTCAAAAGGGCACTCTGTCAAATGAAAGAGGAACTGAAAGACCTCTGCTTGGCCCTCGAAAACCTCTCTTAAAACTACGGTAGTACATCTCACCTGGCATTGAGATGCTTGTAGACAGTTCCAGCACTTGAAGATTTAGTGATGAAGTTGTAGTTGCATGCAAAAATCTTTAACCCATAAAACAGCTCTGTCGAGCTAATCTTTTCACTGTAATTTAGGCTGCTGACTTAGCCACATTAATAAGTTTCTATTGAGTGTGTTTCAATGACAAACAAGACTTCCTCTAATTTTTGGTAGGTGATATGAGCTGCCGCTTTTTGGAGTGTATTTATCTGTTACTATTGAACCCTTGCAGGATTTTTTATTCACCTGCCACCTTTCCAAGTTATCTGTTGCAAGATAGCACAGTCTTTTACTTGCTGTTTCGATGACATGATAACAATCTTTTAGGTTGGCTAGCTGCCTAGAGTTAGCAGTCCTCGCAGCTAGCTCATTTCTGCTAGCAATTGTGATCAGCTATTGTGCTCACAAACTATGAATGGTTCCCTTACAGTGGGCAAACGCAAGACTTTGTAAGATGAACCCTTTACTTCTGCTCACTATTTATTTTTTAGACTCTCATCTCATTCAGTAGCCTTCAAATATGGCTAAATAATTTCCTGTCATATTTGAGATTGAAAAATATTTGTCCCTTGGTTACAAAAAATTAGAAAATAATAGGCCCATGATACTCTGGCACTGTGACATATAAGGATGCTTAATTTGAAAGGGAAATTTGGATTCCGGGAAGGAAATGTGAGTGTAAGGATGTATTTTCAAAGAAGCATATAAGAAATAGAGTCCCATTGTTTTTTCATGGGATTCGTATGCTCCTGGAGACCTTTAAAAATCTTTTTTTCTTATTGATGTCATGATGACTGTAGTAATAACCAAAAGACCAAATCTACTGAACATCTAGTGTAAAACCTAAGATCAATCACTAGCAGCCATATAGCCTCACAGTACCAAATCTGTGCTCCAACTTGTCTTGCCTCCCTCTCCAGTCCCTCTCTGAAATGTGTCAGATATTTATCTACACTCTGCAGGTCACCTTTCCCAGAATCAATCCCATAATTGCCTTTTCCAGACTTTCATGCTCTTCGTGTCCCCTTACTTCCTCTACTATCCACAAGTAGAGACTAGTTCAGGAAAAGAAGAGAGGGCTCATGCCTAGAAGGATTCCCCATCCTCTCAGCAGCAGCGCATGCAGATGGGCAGGTTACGGGTATGGCATAAACGGGGGCAATGTGGATCTCATGGCTCAAGCTGGGTGACAGTGATCCCCAAAAGTCGGTGTAGATTTATCCTGCACAGCTTAGAATCTACTACTTATTTTTTCAAAAGTACATTTAGCATGTGGCAGAGCAAGCTCGTCCACTGCTATTCATGAACTGCCAGTGTACATGGTCTGAACTCTGAGGTAAATGTGAGGTGATTTGGCTCTTCATGGAAAAGGAGTCATCATCTCTGCCTTAACTGGTCACTGTGGGATAGGAGCATGTACACAGAAAGTCACAACAGAGCAATTCACATGCTGTTATTTCATACAGAGCTTATCTCACTGTAATTTGTCCGTGTGCCAGGCTCTAAAGAAACTGTCTTATTGAAAGTTAATGGGATTTTGTCTCTTAAATCTTCATGTCCATAAGCACTTCAGAAAATTTTCCCATGGGCAGTAATAGAGTATTCAAGATCTGGGGAGCTGCTGAAACTGCTCCATTTTATTAAAATGTGGTGATGCCTGAAAAATTTGGAAGTATCTTGGCAAAAACGGCTATGAGACCCCTTCCTCTCAACAGTGGGAACATCCCAAGTTCTTACTTTTTTTTTTTTTTAAAAATAAGTCCAGGATTCTTGTATTCTACTCCAGGAGAACACTTGCATATTATAAACACTGTTTTGCTAGAGATTCAGACGGGGACAGAGCTGAAGTGAGTTCCTTTGCTTCCAGTACATTTCTGCTGCAATGGAGGATGATCTCTCAGCATACTTTTATGGATTTAATTCTACTTATCCTGCTCATACACACACACACACAAATACCATTTCTCTTCAGAGCAGTTTGTTTTGTTACATATTGTAATAATTTATCTGTCTACTTCCTGCCAATTGGTGCATAGGCAAAAATGCTCGATAGCTCGCAACAGATTGTTTTCAGAAGTATTATTTTCATCAATCAGTTGTTTTACAGTGAAAATTGAACCATGTGCTCCAGTTTTGTGTGTTTTCTTTTTCTTTTTTTAAGTGGAAGATAATGCCAGAGCGGAAGAGCTATCAAAATATTTTCTATAGATGGACTCTGTAAGCCATAGGGTCTTTTTCATGTATTCCCTCTGAAACGGTTGAATGTGGAGTTTAGACTTGAGTTTGGCTATTGCTCAGAACAGACCTATATTTGGAAGAAATGAGAGACCTGATGGATTTGTTTTGCCCAAGGCCTCACACTTTCCTTGGAGGGACTCCAGGCCCGCCCACACACCCTTGTCTTTTCCAGTTCCTGTAGCAAGGAGAGAAAAAGAAACCATTTGGAGCCAGATTCTCCCACCCTTACACATGCTGAGTAGTACCCGATCTCTCGAGCAATCCCAGTGACAGTACCGAGCCTATTTAAGGTGCTGTAGACAGAAAATAGAGCAGGATTATCAAAACCTCTGCAGATGCACTTGCTTTTTTACTGTCTTAATGACAGTTAGCCGGCACACATGGCTAGGGTAGGCTCCAGCAAAGCTTAGAAAAGCTTCAAAAGTAATGAATTTGGCTACTTGAACTTTTAAGAAGCATAAATATTCTTCCAAAGGAGGCAAATCTTTCACTCCTTACTCAGGCAAAACCTACCCCAGGATAGCCATGGTTGACACTCCCCTCTAAGGAGGTCCAAATTCTTCTCTTCTGATTCAGTGTAGTGACAAAGCAAAAGCCTTCAGGGTTACATCCTTATGAGGTACACTGGTCATGCTGCTCTTCCAACAGTCATTCTTTCATTTCCTCACAGAAGCCAAGAAGTACCTCATGCTCCTGTCAGTCTAAAGCAGGGGTGATGGGGAAGGCAGCGATGGGGCCTCCCGATGAAAATAATGGCACAGACGAAAAAGCACCAACCAGTAAAAATATGTCTTTTTGTCAGTTTGCATTTCAGCAGTTTCACATTAATCTTGCACAAGAAGGCTCCAAAGCCAAGTAAAACACATCTTGTGACTTGAAACTGAACTGATGAACTCCCCATGGGTGCTTTGCTTATCCCGATAAACTTATTTTTCCTAGATGGAGTGCATTTAGAACAAAATAGTGTATGTTATTAAATGTGTATTGTGTTGTTCTGTTATACATGGGAGAGTTAGTAAATGCAGTTCATGGGTTTGGGTTTATTTTGCTTTTTGGCTAACCAAGTCTGTCCTCTACCAATTTTGGTCCACCCTCAAGACTCCAGCTGCTTCACTGCTTCCCTGCAGATTTACTAGGGATGCCAAGGGTACCACTGTGTAAGGAGAATACACAGTTATGCAATTTGGGGAATTTGGCAGGACAGGAAGAGGAAATTTAGGCAGGCCTCCCACCCACTCCCATGAGAAGTAGTATTGTATTACAAGGCAGAGCTGTCATCCTCAGAAAGACCTTCTCAATCACTTCCCTCTGGTTCCCTTAACATTTTGACCTTTATACTACCTGGTGAATATAAATCTCACTTAACCAATTAAAGAAATACTGGGGGGGGGGGGGAGGAAAAAAAAAAAAAAAGACCTTTCAAGAAAGGAAACTTCATTACATTCAGTTTTCCTTGTATCTGCTGATCCATGAAGGAATAAGCAAGCAAAAAACCCCCAAAAAAACGAACTTCCATGGAAATAATAGTGTATGCCTGAAGAAACCTAAAGCACAAAATTGTTCCATGTACAACTACACACATGAAGATCGCCTTACAGCCATCACTGAAATGCCATAACTTACCCAGTGAATTGTGACCATAAATCAACCACACACAGAAGTGTTACATGACTGCTTGAGGCAGGAAATGAAGCTACCAGGAAAAACCCTCCGGTAGCTTTGCCTTATGCATGTACTGCAAAAACAGAAGGTTCTCTGGAGCCTGCTTCCGTGGATATCCTACAGCATGGAGGAATTCCAGCTGGCAAAGAAACAGAGGGGTATATGCATACATCCCCAGTAATCTCACCCACCACTAATCAGGAGTTTATACGTGGGCTTTGAGATTTAGTTAGAGGACATTACTTCACAGCATTCTCCAGCTGGCACGTGGTCAGAGGTTGGCAGAAAGGGTTACTGGCTGTATCGTATTAAATATACATTAACTTTGGGTAACGCTGGTGGCTGAGGCCCAAAGTGAAAGTAAATCTCTGGCAGTCTCTCCCACCACAAGAATTCCTCAGGGGAAAGAAAGTCGGGCTAGAACAGGAGTCTGGCTGATAGCTGGCAGAGCAAAGGGACAAGCAATGGAAAGTAGATAGGTCTAAAACATGTTTGTTTTGTGTATGCTGCTTCATTACATTCAAGAAACATTTCTGTTTGAAAGGGGAGCTTTTTTAGCATGAAGGAGGAAAGTTCAGACCTGTAAGAGTGTAGAGGATTCAAGGTCAATTACGACTTTTTAACTGTGCCTGAGGAGAGTTAGCCTTATCTAAGACATTTACTTTCAGTATGGGGTTCGAAAGCAGAAAAGGGGTCTTAAAGCTGAAGCTGACCAAGCCTTGCTGCCCTGCAAGACACTAGAATCCTAAATTTTGATTGAAAGCTAGAGGGGAAAGTGAGCAGCTGGCCAAACACTGCGTCCCCAGCAGAAGACTGTAAAATTTTTATTACTATAGTTGTATGCTAGGTGCTTTTACCCTGCTTAACTATTTTGCCGTGAGTTTTCTTTTCTCGCTTTATTTTAAATGTTATTTATTGATCCCCCTGACTTGTGTTTGCAAATGGAGGAAATTAGATCACTGAACATGAGAAATTTTGATATTATTTTCCCAGGGTTTTGGGTGAAACTTGTGCAACAAATGGAGCCTTTTAAACTTAAACCTGGCCCT